GACTCGGTAAATAGTAGGCGGGCCAGTGACTTTACCTCTAATCCTTACATCAAGTAGTGGTTCAGTCTCTAGCAAACTGTCTTCCACTGTCCTGTGCGCTGGAGCCGGAATCCAAGCCTGGGTGAGTTCCTAAAAGGTGTCCTAAGCATCAATACAATTATTGTAAATAGTGTGCAGAGGGTATTGCCAGCGGCCTCTCACTAATACTTGTCTCCTGCCTCTCTGTCTGAGGCTCAGTGATGTCAGTTGTTATGACATCCTCCCCTCAACCAGACAGCATCAGCAGATGGCATTCCCCGAGATCAGAGATGTCACTGATCTGCACTCTGCATCCCCAACACTGCAGTAAATCGCCCCGTCAGCAGTTTGCTGCATAGTGTATGCTCTACAATGACCTCCCAAAGACTGCCTCAAACCCAAGAATGGTCCTTCTTTTTCCTCTTCTGCAGAGCTCTTGTAACACTAGGATCTGTAGTTCAAAAACACTCTGTAGCATCAAGTACAGTCTTTCAGGGAACTATATCTCCCACAAATTCTTGCTCCTTCCAGCAGACATGGTCCTTTCCCAGGCTGCACAGCAACAGCATTACTGCTTTATTTATTTTCATGGGTTGTGGATGGTCAAATTGGTTTGCCCTACTCTTTTAGCTGTTGATTGTGGGTGTCATTATATATCATATACAAATTTTAGCCTCTCTGCCTCCAGCCTCATAAAGCCTTAAGCAATGTGATAAATTTCAGACCAATATCACTGATTACCTCTAACTTGAAATTATTGATAAAATCTATGCCAAAAGACACAATGAATGTTTGGAGTACTATATCCATACAGATCAAGTTGGCTTTGTCTCCAAAAGACAGGTGGCAGGCCAGATCAGAAAGGAAAAAGATATAATCTTCCTATTATGCTCAGATTGGGACAAAAAGGGGGATAGGAAGGGAATTTGCTTTCTCTCATCCCACATAAGGTCTTTGATACCCTATTTTGGCCATATTTGTTCAGTACTTGACCAGATGGAACTTTGGGCCCAATTTCTAACTTCTACTACCATCCCTATACTCTCCCTCTTGGATCATGAAACCACTAATGGTAAGCAAGAGCCTAAAGGACAAACTGGTGCACTCAGAATCTGGTAGCCTATCAGCTTCTAACTTCAGCTTGTTCAATTAAGCTTTGGCAATAAAGCCTGGAAGCTGACTGGTTTTATGCAGAGTTGCTCCAGATTTTGCACTCTTCAGTTTTATTTAATAAACCCCAATATGTACAGTATCATGATAAAGTTCAAGAAAGCAGATGGAAGCAGGGATGAAATGAGATCTTGACCAAGGGAAGCGTCTCTCTTTTTGCTTATTTTTTTCTTTCTTCTCTTTCTCTTTTACTTTCCCAACCAAAACCCTCTGTTTGGAAGTCTCTTGTTTAACTTTAATGTTTCAGTTCATTCAGGACTGATGCCCTAATGGCACTAGAAAGTTGACTGTTCAGTATGGGTGTGCAGGCCTACAATGAGACTGTTGGAAACAACTCATTGTTATTTTCCCTTTGCTTTCCAAGCTAGAGATGGATTCGCCAGGACCTGGAACCTACCCTTTGAATTAAGATTTACCCTATTTTAAATCATTTAGTGTCTTGCTAACAGTGTTTGTTTCTCCTATTTCTTATTGCAGTTATTAAAAATGATTGTGAAATTGTGTACAAAACAAGTGAGCCTCCATAGGTTTCAGTCCATATTTAATAAATGCAATGATCTTTCTTTTCAGCCTTCAGCATGTTTTAAAGGATAAGTTCACCTTTCGTAACATGTTACATGTTACACCCATACTCATATTCAGTATTATATTACTGTAGGACTGCCCCCCCCCCCCCCAATCCCCCATTGTGACATTTAGTGGGGGATCTTTTCCCCCGCTAGCTGTCACAATTTAAAAAAAAAAACATTGCCATGCAGGGCTGGCTGCATCATTCATTCACAGAGTTCAGTGAATGGGAAGCTATAAGTCCTGACAGCCATTGCGGCTGTTGGCTTGTAGTTCACAATTAACTACCATGGCCTGCTGAGCACAGTGGTAGTTCACTGATTCTTCCTGTCAGTCTAAAACTGCTTGCTCATGTGAGGTATGATAAGACAGATTATACTGGCAGTCTGTGGAGACTTGCATGGTACCAGCGATCTGCAGATAACTGACGCAATGCTTTCCAGGCTCCCAAAACAACAAATAGTAAATGCACATTTTTTTACCTGAAAAAAATGTTCATTTATTATTTTTTTGTTAAAAGGTGAACTTATCCTTTAACTTTATATGGTTTTCTAATGTGCCGAGAATGTAATATTTGCCATCTTTCGTCACTGAGGAACAAATGTGAATGGATGTTGGAATATTTTTTCACTCAAGCAATAGGCCTAATTCACTAATCCAACCCATACCAGGTTAAAGGTACCTATTTTCACAAACAGTGTCAATTATTTTCAGTTCAAGGAGCTTTAAAAAATTATTTTTACCCAGCTAAAATAAAGGTATTTGTCCTTGTGTTAAAGTTTTGTAAATTGAGTTCAATGTGCCTTATAAATAAGTCTTCCACAAAGGAATGATGATTTTCCCTGCATATAGAACACGTTTTTTATGTCTTCAGTGCTATGTTATGTTCAGTATAAATGAGACATAAGAATTAAGGACTAGTATATTGAAAGGTGATGCAATAGAAAACAGCAGACACAGTCAATATTTATCAGTCAGTGATAGACTCTTTCTAGGTCAGAGTTAATCATCAGGGGCATTCGAACAAAGTACAAGCAGGGAAAAAAGATCAAGAGTGTTTGATGTAAATAAAGCATAAAATGCTGAGAAATGAATCTTGCCAAATCTTATCAGGTGATTATTTTAGTAGGTAGAGGGTTACTGCACTTTCTTTACAAATCTGTGCCAACACGGCCACAAATGACTACGTCATTAACAACAAATAAAGAAAATCTAATCAAATTAATTGGAACCAGAAGAAATAGAAAGTTATCATTTTTCTGGGGAGTAAACCTTAATGGGTTAAAGAGACTCTTTCACTGCCCTGACATTTTTGGGTACATGGGTGAGAAATGGTCTGTCCAGAGGCAAGTACAAGTGAGATTTCCACTGACTTTCCCTAATGGTGACCTCTGGTCCCTAGAGCATGATATAGTTGTCATCTTTTAATCCATAGAATGTGCAATGAGCATGTGTGCAATGTCCCGACATCTACACCTTTGTCCTGAACAAGAAAGTGAAGGCAAATCTCCCCCTTGAGGGCACTACAATAAAAAAAACTCTCAGAAGTTCTGACTCTTTCCCTCTCGGTTGTTTTGGTTAGAGTTAAACTTTACCAGGTGAGGTCTTGCAGTGCTAATGTGTGCTGTATTTTATGACTTTCTTACATCATTTTCTCCAATATACACTTTAACCAGAACTGCAACTTTTTCTACAAATTCCCACATTCCCACATATGAAAACTCACCTCATTATTTCATAGTTACGCCTGTTCAAGGCTTTTGTATTGCCTTGGAACTGACAACATGGCAGCCAGAGGAGCATACTTGGCAAAGCAGGCATACCAAATATGAAGTTCACACTGCTGGGAGTGATGGCTGCCAGGAAGAGTGTCTGCTCTGGCTATAGGCTTCCATACCATTTGTCTGTGCATGTGAATAATTTGTGTCTAACTAGTAGAGGAACAGGGGAAACTATAATTTCAAATATGGCTATTCTGACTCCAACTGTTGTATTAGTGACTTATCCCTTGCTGAGACCTCTATGCCTGTCCTGTATGAGCAGATACAATCATTGCGGACAGTCTTTATCAGATAGCTGAACTCACCAAAAACCTGTTTTCCCATCCATTGATCTTTTTTTTATTACAATGCAGAAGGTGCATCAGACAACAAGCTGTAGCAGATGGACAGTATTTGCAGGTCAAAGCATGATAATGTATTCCTGGATGCAAGCAGATTACATGTGGCCAAGAGACATGTGGCCATATTCATCCCAAGAAGACAGAGTGAAAAAGGAAGAGGGTCTACATCACTAGCTTGCGGGAGGGGACAAGATGGAAGACAGAAAAGGAAGGTGCCATACCCAAAATTTCCACAAGATGGTAGCATATTAACATTAACCATAACTATGCATTGCATTATATTGTTACACAATATGTAACAGCACTATGGCACTGGCTTTGGAATATGACAGTACAAAAGGCCCACGCTGTTTTCTAAATATGAGATGCAAAGCTGTAGGTATCAATAAGTACATTGGGATCGCATTAAAAAGTAATTTTGTATTTTCGCCTTTAATTTAATTGTTGTACAGGATTACAGCTGCACTTTAATAATCTGTGCATAATGAATAGAGATAAGCGAATTATTCAAAAATTCGGTTCGGCTGATTCTCCGAATTCGCGGAATAAATTCGCTTCAAGCCGAATATATTCGCTGCGAATTTAACTTATAAAAAGGGTGTTTCTAGGCTTCAGAGAGCCTTTATATTAGTGCATAACACTGTACCTTTAATTTAAATGCCCTTGGAGTCTGCTGGGGAAGAGAAATAATACTGTCAGTCAGTATGACATGCAGATGAGTGCCGTCGATCTTAGAATCACCGCACACTTCACTCATTTGGGCAGTCCCGGGTTAAAAAACCAGAGTGTGGAGCCACAGTGTGGCGGTGGAGGCAGCAGCAATGGGAGGCCATACAGCACCCTATGACAAAATGGAACCCACCAGCAGTGTGAGGAGACCTGAAAGTGGCACATGGCAGAGTGTGGCGATGGAGACAGCAGCAATGGGAGGCCGTACAGGGACCCATGACACACTCTGGACCTGGCAGCAGCATGAGGAGGGGGTACAGGGGCCCATGACAGATTACGGGCATGGCAGCAGCATGAGGAGTCCGGTACGGGGGCCCATGGCAGATTACGGGCCTGGCAGCAGCATGAGGAGGCGGTACAGGGCCCATGGCAGAGTGTGCGGAGCGTAAGCAGCTAAAATTGAAGGCCATACAGAGGCCTATGTTAAAAAGTCCCCCCCAGCAGCAGCGTGGGGAGACGACTATCAAGAGTCCAATGGCAGAGTGGTGGAGCAGAAGCAGCTTCAATTGAAGCCCATACACAGGCCTAGGTTTAAAAGTCCCTCACAGTTAATTCCAATAACGAACTCTACTCCTCCGTGCAATCTACTTACGAGACCCTGGGCAGGTCTGGGTCCAATTTGTGGTAGAGACTGGTTTTGTTCAGCCATGCTTGAGCGAGTAATAACAGGTCTGTGCTGGGGGCCCTTTGGTGTCTGGCTTAATGCGCACAACACTGAACGTCCCAGCGTTTGTCAACGATTTGCCGTTAAGTGATGCAAACCCGACTGAACCACGTTCATGAGGAGTCGGTACAGGGGGCCATGAATCAGTATGGACCTGGCAGCAGCGTGAGCAGACGACAGAGGCACATGGCGCAGGGTGGCGGTGTAGGCAGCATTATTCTGAAGCCATACACAGGCCTAGGTTAAAAAGCGGAAGCCGTCAGCAGCGTGAGCAGACGACAGAGACACATGGCGCAGGGTGGCGGTGGATGCAGCAGTATTTCGGAAGCCAAACACAGGCCTCGTTTAAAAAGCGGAAGCCGTCAGCAGTGTGAGCAGACGACAGAGGCACATGGCGCAGGGTGGCGGTGGAGGCAGCAGCAATGGAAGGCCATACAGCACCCTATCACAAAATGGAACCCACCAACAGTGTAAGGAGACCTGAAAGTGGCACATGGCAGAGTCTGGCGATGAAGTCAGCAGCAATGGGAGGCCGTACAGGGACCCATGACACACTCTGGACCTGGCAGCAGCAAGAGGAGGCGGTACAGGGGTCCATGGCAGAGTGGCGAAGCGTAAGCAGCTTAAATTGAAGGCCATACAGAGGCCTATGTTAAAAAGTCCCCCCAGCAGCAGTGTGGGGAGACGACTATCAAGAGTCCAATGGCAGAGTGGCGGAGCAGAAGGCAGCTTCAATTGAAGGCCATACACAGGCCTAGGTTTAAAAAGTCCCCCCCAGCAGCAGCGTGGGGAGACGACTATCAAGAGTCCAATGGCAGAGTGGCGGAGCGGAAGCAGCTTCAATTGAAGGCCATACACAGGCCTAGGTTAAAAAGTCCCCCCAGCAGCAGTGTGGGGAGACGACTATTAAAGAGTCCAAATGGCTGAGTGGCGATCCGGGAAGTCAGCGTTGTGATTGCAGATGCAATGCAGAGATTCTATGAGGTGATGCCGTGGGTGCGAAGAAGATCATATACCGTCGTACTTCCATCCATAAGACGGAACAACCTGCGAACCAGGAGCTTTATTGCCCTGACCCGCTCTGAGCAGCTTCTGGGATACCCAAGAGGGCCCATGGCAGAGTGGCGGAGCGTAAGCAGCTTCAATTAAAGGCCATACAGAGGCCTATGTTTAAAAAAGTCCCCCCAGCAGCAGCGTGGGGAGACGACTATCAAGAGTCCAATGGCAGAGTGGCGGAGCGGAAGCAGCTTCAATTGAAGGCCATACACAGGCCTAGGTTAAAAAGTCCCCCCAGCAGCAGTGTGGGGAGACGACTATCAAGAGTCCAATGGCTGAGTGGCGATCCGGGAAGTCAGCGTTGTGATTGCAGATGCAATGCAGAAATTTTATGAGGTAATGCCGTGGGTGCGAAGAAGATCATATACCGTCGTACTTCCATCCATAAGACGGAACAAACCTGCGAACCGGGAGCTTTATTGCCCTGACCCGCTGAGCAGCTTCTGGGATACCCAAGAGTTTGGCTTTTGTGGGGAATATGGTTGAAAACTGAAACTTAAAGGCATGTTGACGGAAGGGCACCAGTGTCAGTGCTCCGGAGGGAATATAGCTTCAAACCTGACACTTAAAGGTATATCGACGGTCAGAGACCACAGGAAGTGGAGCTTGCGTCTTAAATCGACTGAATGTGGCAGACGTGAAACGTCTACGGGCCGTATATGAAACGGGTTGTTCCTCTTTCTGCAATAAGTGTGTTGGAAATGGCCACTCTTTTTTGGTGTGGCGTTTTGTCTATTTAATTCGATAACGGACTCTACGCTACTCCTCCGTGCAATCTAGTTACGAGACCCTGGGCAGGTCTGGGTCCAATTTGTGGTAGAGACTGGTTTTGTTCAGCCATGCTTGAGCGAGTAATAACAGGTCTGTGCTGCCCTTTGGTGTCTGGCTTAATGCGCACAACACTGAACGTCCAGCATTTGTCAAACGATTTGCCGTTAAGTGATGCAAACCCCGCTGAACCACGTTCATGAGGAGCCGGTACAGGGGGCCATGAATCCAGTATGGACCTGGCAGCAGTGTGAGGAGACCCGAAAGTGGCACATGGTGCAGGGTGGCGGTGGACGGCAGCAGTATTCGGAAGACATACACAGGACTAGTTTAAAAAGCGGAAGCCGTCAGCAGCGTGAGCAGACGACAGAGGCACATGGCGCAGGGTGGCGGTGGAGGCAGCAGTATTCGGAAGCCATACACAGGCCTAGGTTAAAAAGCGGAAGCCGTCAGCAGCGTGAGCAGACGACAGAGGCACATGGCGCAGGGTGGCGGTGGAGGCAGCAGTATTCGGAAGCCATACACAGGCCTAGGTTTAAAACTGGAACCCAGCAGCGTGAGCAGACGACAAAGGACGCACATGGCAGAGGATGGATCTGGCAGCAGTATGAGAAGGCGGTACAGGGGCCCGTGGCACAGTGTGGTGATGGGGGCTACAGCAACTGGATGCCAGAAAGTGGCCGATAGGGCTATATACTGCATGGAATTATAAAGTTGTAAAGACAGCGGCCTATAAGGCTATACACACTATAACAATCATGACTTGATTGACCATTGGCCTATAAGGCTATACACAGCATGAATATCATGACTTATTCTGAGAGTGCTTTGGAAGGGCTATATATACAAAATGTAATTCATGAGCTGTCCGGACAGCGGACAATAAGTACATATATACAAATCAATTATTCATCAGCTGTCCAGCCAGCGGCCTCAAAGGCGACACATATAGAAAGCAATTCATGAGCTGTTCAGACAGCGGCCTCTAAGGCGACAGATATACAAAGCAATTCCCGAGGTGTTCAGGGAGCGGCCTGAACGGCTAGGTTAGTAACTAAATATATTTTTGTGGCCAAACATCGGCCTATTAAATAGATGTCTACACAGTGACAAAAAATTATGTCGCCAGACAGCGGCCCCTAAGGTGACAGATATACAAAGCAATTCCCGCGTGGAGCGCACAGGGCCCACAGTGTCTGAGGATGGACGTTGGCGCAGAAAGGCAGAGACCAACTGACTATATAGGTGGTTTTTTATAGCACTTTATTTTGGCCTCCCTCTCAGCAGGTGTGAAAAAGGCCACCATTTTTGAACGTTAGCGAGGGTCCAACAAGGTGGACAGCCAAAAGTCATCCCTCTGTCTGATGGTTATTATTCGGCTGTCGCTACGCAAGCAACCGAGCATGCTATGGGCCATTTGTGCCAAGGAATGCGAGGTACTCCCTGCCTCCATCTCCACAGCATACTGCCACGGTGCGTCTGGGTCCTCTGTCTCCTCCTACTCCTCCTCTACCAGATGCTCCTGCTCCTCCACTCCTGTCCGCTGAGTGGAAAAACCACCCATTTCACTCAATAATTCCTGAGCACCAATGTCCTCCTCTACCTCCTCCTCTTCTTCCTGTACTGCCCCCACAGGGGTCATGTGGCGTTGAGATCTGTGCGCCACGTCTACCGCACCACTGGACCAGCCATTGTTAACAGCATTTGTTCCAGGACGTGCAACAGAGGAATGACGTCGTTCATCCCATAGTCCTGCCAACTCACGAATAGCGTGGCCTCCTCAAAGGGCCTGAGCAAGCAGCAGGTGTCAACGCATGAGCTGCCAATGGCTGACATCTAAGTTACACAGGGGAGTACCTTTATCCGCTTGTAACATCAGGAAATCGGTGATGGCCTTTCGCTGTTCGTAAAGGCAGTCTAACATATGTAGGGATGAATTCCAACCTTGTTTGCAACGTCGCAGATCAGGCGATGCTGTGGCCAATTCCGTTCTGCCGCTGCAGCTCAAGGAGGGTGTGCTTTGCGGTTGTAGGAATGGCTGAAATGCATGCAAAGTTTACGTGACATTTTAAGGATGTCTTGCAGTGGGATGGTGGATTTTAGGAACCGCTTGACAACCAGATTGAACACGTGAGCCATGCATGGCGCATGGCACAACCTTCCTTGACGCAGAGCAGACACCATGTTCTTTCCGTTGTCGGTCAACATGGTTCCGATTTTCAGTTTGCGCGGAGACAGCCATCTGTCGATTTCTCTGTTCATTACAAACTCAGAAGTTCCTCCCCTGTGTGACTACGTTCGCCAAGGCATACCAGGTGCAGCACAGCGTGACACCGTTGCGCCCTGCACATGTGATATGCGGTCGGGTAATGGGACTTGGCACGGGGGTGGCGGCTGATGAGGACACGGCGGAAGAAAGAGGTGGTAGAGGCGGACATCTTTGCTGGACCAAGGACGTGCAAACGTGGAGACAAAAGCGGCGTGACTGTCCAAGTTGCTGGTGCGCTGTGCCGGCACCACGTTCACCCAGTGGACCGTAAATGACATGTACTGTCCCTGACCGTAGTTACAGCTCCACACGTCGGCGCTGCCGTGCACTTTGGCAGAGACCGACATGCTCAAAGACTGGCCCACCATCTCTTCTACATGTGAATGCAGGGCTGGCACTGCCTTTTTGGCGAAGAAATGCCGGCTTGGCACTCTCCACCGCGGCTCGGCACAAGCCATCATTTCTCGGAAAGGTGCTGAGTCCACCACTTGGAAAGGGAGGGACTGCAGCACCAGCAACTTGGACAGGAGGACGTTCAGCTTCTGCACCGTCGGGTAGGTGCGTGCTCGCAAACTGTTGTCTCTTGGAAACAGATTCCAAGAAAGACTGCTGACGGAATCCGTGAAGAGAGGAGTAGCAGGAGAAGGAGCATGCTGAACGAGCGGAAGATGCCAACGAGCAACAACTCCCCTCAGCAGAGGTGTTGGAGCCTTGACTGGCTGATAGAGGGCGATTGACGTCGGGTGACGGAGCAAGTAACAGAGCGGGTGATGGAGCGGGGGCTGGGGCAGGCAGAACCGCCGTATCTTTATCACGGTTTTCCCAGTCCACCGAATGGCGACGCTGCATATGCTGACGCAACGCTGTAGTCCCAACATTGGCCCCCTGGCCACGCTTGACTTTTCTGGCCACATAGTCGACATACGGCTACGTTTACTTCCTCGGGCGGGCTTGACGAAATATTGCCACACCGCCGAGTAGGAAACTTTTCCCCCGCTACTCCTCACTGGCTGACTGCTACTTCCTCCGTGCACACCGGCACCACTACTGGCCGTGGTGGTAGGCTGCAGTGGAGCTGGTGCTCTACTCCGTGGCCATTTGGCTCCACTGACACTGCTGCGACCCTGCTGCCTCCTGGGCAACCCACCGACTGTTTTGCTCGCTGGCAAGCTGGCACCCTCTTCTCCTGATGATGCGGAAGCAATAGCTGATGACGACGAGGCTGCCAAGTGCGATCAGCCTCATCATCATCAATTAGGGTCTCCGCGTCACTACTAGCCCCTCGGCTGCGTGTGGGTCAGGAGACAGACCTGTCTCTAGACCGGCTACCGAGCCACTCTCACCGCCAGTACTTCTTCGCCTGGCTGCTGCTGAAGAGGCGGATGTCTCCCCCCGTTCCTGACCGCCCTCTGTTTTAGCTCTTCCTCACTGTACAGTGGGGCTGAGCCCACAGCATGCGATACTTCGCTTGGTTAGGGAACACCAAAGGACAGGGGCAGGTCGAGGACACGTGATTTCAGTGGGCTTGCTCCCGGGCCATGCCAACTAACGGTTTGTGTCTGACGTACCCACCGACCGTTGGCTGTAGGTGTCAGAGGTGACCTGGGAAGAGGAAGACGACCGAGTCAACCA